CAGATCTTGGAAAATTACGCCTTTTTTAATCCCAAGATTTACTTTAAAGTAGTCTATAGAGCCAATGTGCCCAGTGTGTATTGTTTCCAAAGTCATTAAATTTACTCTCTGTACATTTTCCAACAGTGTGAAAAATTCAGGGTTTTTTTTCTCAACACTTTATAATCATTAAAAGGTTGTTATAGAATAGGAAGTGATTTAAAGGCCAGTGTTTTATCTGTTGACAGATGCCAGGGTGTCATTATCAATTTGCGCCAGACAGATTAGTCACTTCTTCCCATAATTTACAGCTTGTAATAATCTTCTCACGTCTCACGTTATAGGTCATTGTACGTTGAAGCGATGTTCCTATAAAGAGATTTCTATGACTAAACATTATTTGAATGATTGTTTTCATGTTGGGCTATTATGGTTCAATCTATTGCAGATGAACTTTTCCTTGGATCAGATGTAAAAAGAAAAATGTAAAGTGGAAACCTATAATGTCGCATCTTTTCATGTGCATCTTTTCAGACTGTATTTTTCCGCAGTTTTTTTGTTCAGTCAGGGTGCTGGTGTGATTGAAGTCATATAAAGTGTGGTGAGGAGGAATGTCCTCTTGACAATTTCAGAGAATCTAATGTTGTTGTTTGCCTTTCAAACGCACAACAGTATTTGTAGCGACCAGACATGCATAATCTCAATAATTTTTCTGGCCTATAGTATTTTTTAGTAAGGAGGAGAGAATTGAAAAGATTCAGTAGTGGATAAAGTTGCAGAGAGTCTAATGCAGTAGTTATTTACTTTTCAGAGTAAAATAATCTGTGCAGAGTCTGACTTAATGCTTGAGGGGAGGTTAGCCAGAGAAGCATTCAGATTTCTGTCTCTGAGCTGCATGAGTCTAACATATAAGTGCTTTTATTCAAATCATAGATTTAGGCGTTCCGAGGTGATTTCATGCTGTAGAGACACCTCCAAGAAAAACAAACAAACTAATTAGTCTTTGTTTTTATTTAGGCATGTTTTTTTATGCAATTAATGTATTAATTAATGCCTCTTTTTTGTTTTGATCCATGCAGTTACAATATATTGTTACTCTTACAAGGAATCAAGCTAAATAAAATGGTTATATACTTTGAAATGTTTGGAGTCTGTTCATAAATGAATTTATTCAGCAAGGACAAGTAAAGAGACAGTGATTTAATATTAAAAACATTTCAAATAAATGCTGTTGTTTTGTAGTTAAATGAAGAATACTGGGGGGAAAAAATCACGGGGTTCAACATTCATAATAATAAATGTTTCTTTAAAAAAATCAGCATATTAGAATCATGTGACACTGAAGACTGCAGTAATGGCTGCTGAAAGTTTCGATTTTCCACCACAGGGATACATTCATTTTAAAAAATATTTAAAAAGTAAAATGTATGAAAGCATATTCTAGCAGTGTATATTTATATAGGGAGCAATACTGATTTGCCCCAAGCACTGAGAGCCAAAAAATGTCTGAATTTACAACACAATTGAAAATAAAACCATTGCTAAAGCCAATCCAAATACACTTTAGTTTGAACTGGTTCTCCCTTCATGCCTCTGCATCATTTAATCAGTCATGTGCTCACCCTGCGGGACACAGTGCAGAAGGTTTCAATGGTTTATGTCCCCACCATTGGCTTTTCCCCTATACTCTCTGGGATTAATTATTGTTGCACCTGAATTGAGATTCATTGAAGTCCTGTTTCGTTTTCTCTCAGTCTCTTACCATCACTGTTGGCACCAGACACTCCAGTGAATAATTTTTTCTAGTCTATGTAAAAAATTTTTTAGAAGGGATTGGAGAGCTCAAGAGATTCAGTGGTGAATGGAGGTGAATTTTAAGAACCGCCCTTCACTTTTCCACACTCTCATTATGACTGTGTTGCTTTCAAAGTTATAGCCAAACACGGCCTCTCCCAGAAGGTCACAGTGCTCACCAGGTCTATTTGTTTGTGACTCTGACTCATGGCAACTGTCTCTCACACACTCTCTCATGCATGTTTGTTGATGCATGTCTGTCAGTTATGCAGCAGCATGTGTCCGTGGGTGCATACCAAATGTGAACGTGTCAATCCTCTTGTCTGAATGCCTCACACACATTTAATCAGGCTGAGCATATAAATGATTACGTTAGTCAAGGATACAACACGTTTCTTGTGTTTAAATATGTGAATATACACAATACTCTATAGCCTGAGGGAGACATGCTAAATGATAATTAATACTACTGGTGTTAAAATACCATTGCTAACAAAATCCTGCTTGGTCACTCTTTATATTAGGTTTCTTTAACTACTGTGTGTTTACTGCTTACATAAAAAAATGTACTAATTGTGTTCATTGCATTGCAATACACTTTTGCTGCTAATGATGTGGGATATGGTTAAGGTTAGGTTTAGGAGTGGGTAAAGGGCTCAACTGTCTAACTATAGCTGTATGCAGGTAAATATAGAGTACTTGTAAAAACATGTATGTGCACAATAAATGCATTGTATCAAGCTATTAATTTAAATGTTACAGCCTGATCTCATGAATTGTGTCTCTATAGCACGCGTTGTGTTTTGTTTTTTAATTTATACGCTGAAATTCGTTTTTACGTGCTGTGTAATACACACCACAACACTGCGTATCATATGCACGTAAAAATGAATTTCCGCGTATAAATTGCACGATAAATGCATTGCACGACGTGCCATGCGTTTCAT